TGTAGTCTTTTGAATTTTTTCAGCGGTTTTTCACTGTAGATATTTTTGGAAAGTTATGCATTCTACAGCATATTCAATGCTCTATCTGACACAATCAATATCTTTTTTGGCACATGTATTTAGATGAGTATTTTCCAAAAAAATGTGAATCTGCTGCTATTAAGTAGCAATGACTAGTACTTAACTTCATCGTCTTCTCTATCTATTGAGACATTTAAATGACGAAGTTGACTATAATCAGGGATTAATTTGACAAATTTTTTTTTGATAGCACATGACTAACTATGTATCTGCCACCGCTGACACGATAGAAACGATTCTGGTCTTGATATGAAAGTTGCTGATTAATTTGACATATTTTATATTGTTCCACAAACTCAATTAAAATTTTAATTATTTACAACTCAAGTGACGTTACGTCCTTCAAAGAAGACTTTTCAAGCTCACATAAAACTTTTACAAATGAACTAATTATACATACAAAAACGGAACAAATAGAATAAAACAAAACAGGCTCCGTATTTATTTTTCAGTCTCATTTGAAATTACAACAATACTTCACATTTTTTCAACAATACATACGACACAACGTAATTCCAAACGGATTCCAGTTCAAGGATACAACGAAATTAAACAAAAATCAAGAATTATGAAAACAAATTATGTAGAAAATCAGAGATAATAAATGACAGGTTAAACAAAAATAGAATTAAAATATATTAATATTGAAGCCGAAACTCAAGGTTTAATTTTGAATCAGCACTTACTAGCAACTCAAATATCAAAGTAACATCTAGATGAGTTAAAATGGATAAATAGGTACAACGGGAAATTTAAAGATGATTTAATTAAAATGCATTTAAATAAATTAAAAATATTGAAAGAAAGACAAAAACTAAATGAATTACAGCAAGCAAAGTCACGAACAATGAAAATCAAGTCACAAATTCAACATGGTACAGCAAGTGTATTTTACGTGTCAAAAATACATCTAACTCGAACAACATATACCGACCTTGTCAGAAAACTTAAAATTCGGTCCAACTCCTAAATCTATCAACTAAATAAACAACATAGCCCAGGTCTAGCATTACAACGGCCAGATACGACCGTACACGACGACTTACGGCCGTATACAATGCCCTATCGTATACTGTTATGGATCAATCACAATTCACTAGGACTTTTCTTGCTCATTATAAGGACAACATCTAGTCATGTTCGGGCCAATTCTATGGTTATCGAGGTCGCTCTATCGAATGAGGGATATATGTGTGGGGTCTCTCCTAATCTATAGCTGAGAACTAGAATCTCGCAATCTGATTGGTCAATTAAAATGGGTCAATGAGATTTTAGGGTTGCTTATGGGTTTTGTTATGGAGACAGTTTTTAATGATATTTGAGGGTGACTGTTTGTTCTTGTTATCAAAACAGCTATTAATCATGCTTGGGTCGATTCTAGGGCACCGAGGGTTCTCTTCGAAATTACCTAAATACGAGTAGCTCTGGCTTTCGTATTGTTGAGAAATCGGATTCAGTGATATGAGTCGTGAATAGGGATAGATCGCGAATCCCTTTAGAGTAGCTTTAGTTTGTCGACAACCAGAAAGAATTGCTGTTTGTACTGGCGACTTGCGATCGGTGTAATATGAAAAAGACTGTAAAAATCTGATTGCAATTGGATGTTTAATGCATGTTACTGCTACCTGTACTATGATTCGAATGAACTGTAACTTGTAGCGCATTCATATATATATGGTGGACAATGTCTCAGAAAGACTGAAAAAATTCGATTTTTCCATCGAATTGTTGATACACAAAAATGGATTTTTATCCAAAAAATAATGGTCCTCTATCAGACCAGTCACAGTGGACACAGACAGTGCGTTGCCATATTTTCCAATGAACGTATACAGTTGCCGTATTGCTACGGAAGTCGTTCACGGCGATTTTTTACCGTTATTGTTTACGATGGTCGTAAAGTATAGTGTACGATCGCTGTGTGCGGCTACCGTATACAGCCAACTTACACGTTGTCTTACGACATTTTATCACGCTAACGTATACAGGCACCGTATTGCTATGGTAGTCGTTCACGGCGACATTCTACGGTCATCGTTTACAATGGCCGTAATATGTCGTAAAGGGCTACCGCGAATAGCTGAAGTATACGATGTCTAACGGTGTTTGTCGAGCAAAGTATACAGTCGCCGTATTGTTACGCTAGTGGTTTACGGTAACCTTTTACGGGCGTTGTTTACAATGGTCATAATATGCCGTAAAGTGTCGTTTACCATTGCTGTAGACGGGTACCGTAAACAGCCGCCGTGTACAGCCGACCATGATTGATCTGGGATACCTAAAATAAATTCGTTCTGAATAGAAACCAGTATTCGGTCGTCTTCTGTCGTTCTTCTGTTTTGTGTTTTTATCAAATCAAATAATGATATATTATGATTTTTATTTTAGTATGTGCATTGACTGGACGACATGAGAATGATTTAAATATTACTACGTAACCATTTGGTCATTTTGATATTTGCTCTTTCGTTCTCAGAAAATACATAAGCTCATCCATTGACAACTCACTTGGATTTTTGTAAATGTATCTATTTGTACAATTATGTTTAATTCAGAAACATTAAAATCTTATCTGAAACATCATTATTGTTTCATAAATATATAGATAACTCACATGATAGTGTATATTCATCTTCATAAAATTATTTTAAAGCGAAGTAATCAGAACATTAATAATTGTGATACAGGTAAGCGAAAGACAAGAATTAGTAACATTAGCCAAATTGCTTAATGGTATCTCAAGCTAAAAAATAGAAAAATGTTTACGATAAGAAGAATATGTGACTGGTTCCATTCTTATTAGCAAATATATTGCTTTTAACTCTTTATTGTTTTTGAAGATTATTGACTACTATTTTGTGATATACTTGCTTTATTGTAATCGTATATATTGTTTCATATGCACTGATGGAAAATAGCATATATAATACTATGGATATCTTTATGGGAAAAGTTAATATTGAATGGATGAATCTTTATAATTATATGATGCATTGTGTACATCAGAAGAAGAGCATTGAACTGTAATCATTGGTACTTCTCGCAGATGTAATCGATGTGATCGTTCAATTCAAAAAGCAATAAAATCCTTGAATATTGTCTAGCATAAATCTACTATTTGAAACAATTACATAATGTTTTGGTAATCTGCGCTCTTTTCATAGTGTAAATAAGTCCAATTCACTGATAATATCTTCAAGCTCTTACAGTTAGCTATGAGATGCTTGAATAATTTTCAAAGAATATACTCATTATATCATTCATCAAACTACATGGTTATTCAGGCAAATAGCAAACAAACTGTACATTATTTGGATGCTTAATTAATACACTTATATGATCATATAATCGTAGAGAATTCAAAGTTCGTTGAATATTGCATCGGATTTACGTTATATTAGATGTAAGATGAGGCGAAAAAAATATATAAGTTCACTGATTGAAATAAAACAATCAGATTGGTGTTTTTGATAGTGAAAAATACGTACTTGTTTATAAACAATGAATAAATATACGATGCACTTGACAGGAACAGAACAGTATTGAACGGTGATGAATTAGGTACACGTATTATTCTTCGTTTTTCTGTCCTTACTTCTATGAAAAAAATATACAAACAGTTATTAACGATTACAAGGCATGTATGAGATTTACATGCACACTAACACATGTTCTGAGAAACGCAATAAATCTCCCTCTGATTGACAGTGATGATCAGATTGAACTAAAGTACTTTATGTTTTATTCTTTGTTAAATGAATTACTTTTTTGATCGAAATAAATGATTTTCGATTTTGATTAGTATTAACGGTAGATTCATAGTATTTATTTCATTTGAGTAGTTTTCATTGAGTCATTAGATGAGTTTAGGAAAAAAGTCGAAATCTTCACATGTATTGATGACAAAGAAGCAGCAATGTTTATTGACATGTTTTAATACGATATAATTGAGGACACCTTGTTAACCAAAGAAAAATATGTCATATTAGATTGAGTAATGTCGTAGAAAGTAAAAAAAAATAAAACTATCAGTATGTTTGTTTTGTTATCGTTATCAATAATTTAAACAGATTTAAAATAATCCAAAGACTGTTATCCTTTTCACGAAAAACATTAAAAATAGAACCAATTAGACTCATTTGTACAATGTATTCTTTTTTCGATTATGATCTTGTACAAGAAAATACAGTAAATTATCCAGATGATCAAATATCTTGCTTCTAATCAGTATGAAAACGAGTTCATTTTATTTATTTAAAGGATACACATGATCAAAGACAGATTATTATGAACCCATAAAAGAATAATTACAGATTGATTCGAACGAAACTGTCGTTATAATACTATATATATATATATATATATGGGTTATTTAATCAACGGATTTTACAACAGGTTGTATTGACAACTTTAATAAATCAATAGAGATAAATGAATGTACTAAAGTATTCCTCATGAAAACAAGCTCCTCTCGTTTCATGGTTATTATACAATGTTCAATGTACTGTCTCACATTGATATATATGGCTTAGTCAGCAAATTTTATGTAGTTACAATATATTCTACATTCTTGCAAAGTCGTGATGCAATTACTATTTTTTTTTATTCTTGTAGATAAATGATAAACGCTTATCAGTCCTAAATGATATTTACCTGTACTGAAAGTATATATATTCAAGCAACTAAATTTATCAAAACATAGTATATAAGGGATGGCAAAGAAAATACACCTTTTTTTTTTTTCGTTCAACATTCTATTTATATTTGACATGCATGTTCTCGTTAAATATAGCTAATCATTTTTTTCATTCATCTTTTAGAGAAACTTACTTCACATTTACTTAGATATATGTATAGTAATATATTACTAATTTTTGCAAGATATTGTTTCGATCTATTTTAAACCTATATTTCAACATATGTATTTAGTTCTAGTAAGTTGAGAAAGTATAACTATGGTCACATTTACATTGTTTTAATTTTATCAGCTTATCTTTTATTCTATTGGAATCGTAGTTGGGATTGGCAACATTGCACTATCTTTGCAAGTGAAGTCAAACCAAAATGAACCAAGTTCAGAAGTGCCTCCGGATAATCTTGATTGGCGAACCAAAGGTGTCGTAACACCAGTCCAGGATTATTCCACCTCTCCGCATGTTGCTGCAGTTGTTATGATTGGTAAGTAGATTGCGTGTTTATACACTGTTATGTAAAATAATTCTCTTTCTACCATGAACAAATTGATAGATAATAAGAATAACATGTATAAAACGAAAGTAACCTATTTATCATACGGTGTTCAAATTTAAACATTAAAAAGTTCAAAGTAAAGTTTTTAATCAAGTTCTTTTCAAGGACATGTGCTACTGCTAAATAAAATTATCAATAATACATTAGAAAGATTTTTTACAGAGTATTGTAAAAATAATAACAAAGAACACGTTCAAGTTGAATATATTCATATTAATAGAAATATTCTACTGTGTGTTTGTACTGTTTATTATATTGTAGAAACCATCGAGAGTCTTCATGCAATTACAACTGGAAATCTACAACGCGGAAGTCTTGCTCGTGTAATTGACTGTTGTAGCAAAGATATAATTAGTTACGAATGTATACGACTCATTGGTGGTATATGCACTTATAACGACTATCCTACCGTTCGTGGCATCTGTAAAGTTGATGATTGTAAACCGTTTGCATCGGTATGTTTAAAATTAATACTAATCATTTTATGATTTCTTGTCATTGAACATCGATGAATAGTTCGATACACTTGATCATTTTCAAGAGCAAGACGATAATGCATTGTTACCTTTTATACAAAAATCAACATTACTTGTTGGCATCGATGCATCTAAAAGGTCATTTTCAGATTATGAGGGTGGTAAGTGGAACTTTGTCCAAGTGATAAATCTTCTATTAAAGAGTATTGCACGAGAGAAAATATAATAGAGAAAACAATACGTTCAACTTTTTGAATAAATATAATATTTTCTCGAGATTATGTTCATCAAAACATTATGCTTACGAGGAAATTTTGTCAACTGATTAATCGTTTTTAAGTCGAGACTATGTGTTTCATGTAGATCCTAATGGATTATGAATACCCTGAAAAGAATTCAAGTTCATAGCTTGTTGCTACTGATACGTTGTACTTTTACGGTATTTTTCAATACAATACCTTGGTCCTCCTCAAGAACGCCAGGAAAACCGATTTTCGAACTTTGACTTGAAGCTTTACATAGAAACAAGCCTTGATGAGAATAGTGTATTGTGAAAATTTCAGATATTTTCGTTGTTCCTATCCCAAAGTACAACCAGGAAAAACGCGCATCCTTTACATCGTTTATATACATCGGCAGAATTCAATGTTCATATTTCAGGAAAGAAACAAAGCAAATGGTCTAACATTTTCACGATTAATTGTTCTTGCCAAGGTTTGTTACTGTGAAAAATTTCAAGTCGAAATTTGAAAACCAGTTTTTGTGATGTTCCTGAGAGAAGCTACAGTGTTGTATTGAAAAAAACCGTAAAGATGTAATGTGCAGGCAGCAATAGGCTATAAACCCAAACTCTTCTTAAGGCATTCATAATACCTTAGGATCTATAGGATGCACATGCTTCCTCCTTAAAAACGATTAATTAGTTGGTGAATTTCCTTCGTCAATATAATTGTTATAGAATCTTGGTTCTGTTTGCTATATTTTAATGTTTCCAATTTCATCCACTTTTTTCGAAACGACAAAAGACAAATATCAATACTATACTTTCTGATTCTCACTTACAGATTGTTCAGTTGAAATTTGATCATCGAGTTATCCAGTTAATAGTTTCTAATGAGAAAGTGAAAAATCATGGTTTGATCAAACTGAAAGAAAATTATTCTACATTCATTCCATTTACACTTAGTCGAACATTTAGAAAAAAATGTTTTGAAGTTTTAGATGATCATTCAACATTCTTTTTCTATTCATGATTTAATAAATTATCCATGCAACATGCACATATTACACATCTCGTGCTACAGTTATCTAAAGATATATGATGAGATTAGTGTAACGAAAAATATATGATGATGAGGAATGAATGAATAAGAATAATAATTGAAGTTACTAAGCTCCTGACTTTGTCTTGGCTTCTGTTGATTCCTTCACACTTTCGTTACTTGTCGCTATCACTTGCTCTTTTATTTCAACGATACCACTCTTCTTTAACATACAAAGTTATACACCACTATGTATGTCCCTCACACTTGTATATATCGTTGTTCAATCTTACTCTCACTGTTCACTTTCATCAACCGCTATACTCTTCACTCTTCTCTTTCCTCTTTCTCCTTCGCCTTCTCGAGGATAGAGAGCAATGTGAATATATACAGGATGTAATACAACGATTGTACAAGCGTTGACAAAGGACAGTGTATAACGGAACAATTACAACAGTATTGAGAATGAACAGTGTATAACGTAACGATTACAATAACATTGAGAATGAACAAGTATTGAACACTATGAACAGTACTATGTAAGGATACAAGGTTGACATTATACAATGATGATATGGAGTAAGAGTAAAATAGCGTAAGGATGATGTCCCATGCTGGTGATAGCACGTTACATCGGTGTATCTCTTGGCACATCCTCCCCTTCAATTGAGACGCGCTCCTGAGCGTCTTGAATTGAAAGTAATGAGCGCAGGAGATATATGAGAAGCACATGAAAATGAACAGAGAGTAAAATAAAGAGAGAAAAAAAATCACCTAATACAAGATAAAATTCGTTTGCACGTGACAGAAGGGATTGTTGGGGAAGGAGAAAAATTTCTGCTATCAAATGAAAGAAAGATTTGGTAAAATGGACAAGAGCGTTTTTGTTTTCTTCAAAACCTTGTGTTTCTCAGATTTCAGGTCTATTGTTGGATGGTATTGTAATTATAAACTTTGTCCTCTCGAACCGCTTTGATATAGTGCAGAAGAGTAAAGTACCTGCGAGTAATCCAACTATGCAGGTCAATATAATTGTCATGAATGAGACAGGATGTTCATGCCATCGTTGGTGGTTTTCTGCTTGTGTTGGCTTCGGTGTATTCGAGATGAAATTGATCATGGCTTGCATATCTGACGGAATGTGTGGTAATTTTGCCTAATTAGCGTTGTTGTTTATTATTGAATGCAGATCCACTAACATGTCTGCAATTGGATTAATAGTAGTATTTTGTATCAGGGCAATTGTCTTCCCCATTTTGATCGGTAGTCCTGGTAGGAAAAACCGATCGCACGTCAGAGAGGTGGTATCGATAGTCGTTACAAGTACTACTGGCGGTAACACAATTTCGTCATTCTCGATGACTTTATGTTGTTCTGACTCCATAGATTCACCAGAGTGACATTTGGTGCTGGTGTTCGTTGATACGGCCCAGTGTTGTCCGACTCTGTGAACGAAAACTGGATCTGCATATGGTTCAATTCGACATGCCGTTAGTGGTGCGTCAGTGAGGATCTGGTAGAGACAATTATCTTCCAGATCCTTTCGAATTGCCGGTGTTTCTCGACAGGACGACATTACGTCGAAGTTACAGGCTGCTGCTTCGCTTTTTGACCAACGAATAAATTGTAATGATTCCGGTTCAATTCCGATGTAAGCCGGCATTTGTGCCAGTTTCACGGTCATGTGAAGTGAACCAAAAATCGCTTGAACCAAAGCAGAGTCCAAAATCCGTGTTTTATCAATTCTCAGTATGATAAAAATTTGTTTGTAGTTTTCTCTTCTATGTTATAGAAACTTCGAAGTACCCCGTGCAAACCTCAAGAATTTTTAGATTATTTACCTCGAGATTTTTCTAAGGATTTTGAAAAATGGTTTTTGGAGGTTTTTCAGGAATACCCATAGATGGTTTTTGGAGGATTTTAAGGAATATCCATAGATGATTTTTTGAAGGATTTGATTAGGTAAATTTTTGTAGATTTTTGAAACTATTTTAGAGACGTTTCTGAGGTTCATGCAGATACTCGATGGGTGTCAAAATTATCCAACCACTTGAGAGGACTATGGTATATGCTCTATATTTCTAAAATATCAAAAGCTAGAAATCTCTGATTTTCACCAAACTACACCCTATAGTATCTAGTGTATATGTAGAAAATTTCAGACATTTCCAATACTCTGTTCTTTTTAATAGAAAAGCGTTGAAATGACTAGACTTCCATTAGAGCCAAGCTCAAGTAGAGAAGACGGCAAATTGCACGATCACCGCAGTCGAAAAGGTCAAAACGTGACCGCATCTTTATTCATTCAACGTAAGCTATGAGAAAAATTGTAAGCATTTCAGGTTCTTTCATTGATGCATATGAGTGACATGAGATAATAATTTAAGTCTTTACGTATATAACATTTAAGTTAGCAATCATTGGCGGAGATTAAGGACGATCGGCAGAGAGAAATCGCTTCTCTTGTTCAAAAAAAGTTTCATTTTTTTTGCAGAAAATGCCCAAAAGTGAGCCAAGAGATCTCCGAATGTGATTCAAAATAGATTTTCTAAGCAAAGTCGCACTCATTCCAACTGAATTCCTTCTGGTTATATGGATCCTAGATCCATCATTCTTATTAGTAATACCTCAAACATACAGTGACGTGTACCTATTGAAAAAAAATTCTCAGTTGTTAATTAATTATTTTTTTTCTACAAATTTTTATAACTCCCGAACTGAGCCGAATTTTAACTGGATAGAACACAAGTTAAGCTCAGCTAGGCAATGCGATCGGAACATACTTAGTTCCTATATCAATGATTGAGAAATCGAAGTATAGTATAAGAAAACTAATCGTGTTTATAGCTGAATATACAGCACTTTGTTGGGAGAAGTGTTTCCAGTTAATCGAATTCCGTTCTATCCATTCCTCAATAGAGTGAGAAACATTAAATGTCGATTAATAATAAACATTGAAAAACAAATTCTATGGTAAGTATAGCAGAATAATTTTATTTTTAAAGTGATATTAATAACGAGTGGTATTTCATTTAAAAATATGTTTTTCAAATAAGGTATTATAACAATGAAGATGAATTTTATTGTTGCTAAACAGTTTTCACATAGCATAACTCTTTCGGTCTCATGCTGTTGATTATCTGAATTAAGAAAGAAAAGCGAGGTTGATAACTTATGAGTGTGCGTGTAGGTGGGTGGGTATGGAGGAAGATATACACTCACACCCACACCCTTAAAAACCTCTCAAAAGCTGTTCTCCGGCGAGCTTAAAAAACCTTCGAGAACGATAAATAGATGAACCTGGAAAACCTCTAAAAACCATCCTTAGATAAACTTTAAAACTTCTCAAAAACTATTTTCTAGAAAACCTGAAAACTTCTAAGAACTGCTTTCAAAATAGTTTTTGATAACTTGGTGTTTAAAATTCTCAGATAGGTCTTGAAAACTATAGACAATATACCGTAGCTTTCAAATTTAAAAGAAAAAATCTTTTGGCAAACATCATAATGCGAGGAGTCATATTTTATTACGATATTTTCTCTATGTGAAGTGAGCCTCATTTCTTTAGCTAGCGTGTTTGGTTCACTTCACGTGACCCAGTTTCACCCGGTTTTTTTCATGATTGAACGGGATGGGTACCAACTCGTATATCGAGAATGGTGCTTGATCACGACTGGGTGCTGCAAAGAATGATGTAAATACTAACTTTCCTATCACTTCGCCGCTGTCGGTTGTTTACGATATGTTTGTCGGAACGAAATCAATTCGTTGTTGTCCCAGTAGGCGTGTGACTATTTCGACCATAGACATCGAACTGCTTGATTCATCAATTGAAATATTTGTTGCTTGAAGTATGAGTTCGATTATCTTGGGCAGATCTTTAAAATGAATGAATTGTAGATTAAGTTTGTTCATCAGTATATCATCTATTGCTGTATGAATGAAATGTGTCTCTACAGCATGAACGAAAGCCGCGAGTCAAGTAGTTAAGAAGATTGTCAATGACGTAATTGTTCTTAGAGTTGTTTCATGATTGCGTAACACTCCCGAATGTTCGTTAACGAGCTCGATCGTACGATTAAGTGCGAATTGTGTATTATTGAGCTCGTATGCTAGCTTGAGCTGCCCTTGTGTAAGATGTAAGATTTGGGCCCTATTAGTGTTGATTGACTGGTCCATCGATCTCAAACATTCGTTATTTGCTTGTACTTGATTTTTCAAATTCGACATCTGCATTGCGTTTGCAATGGAGAGTGCAAGGGCAGCTGAGCCTACGCCGATGAGGAGGTTTCACATTGTACCAATTCTGCGTTCATACTTGTTCTTATTATATATCACCATACCACTTAATTAATCGTGGTGTCTATAATAAAACCGCATCATACTTTTGAAATTTTACACATATAAGAATTGGCATTTGAATGATCGTTTCCTTTGCATTGGATTTGTAAATCGATCAAAACGATATTGTTCATATTAATGATGATGATCGACTTCGATCAGAGATACATGAATTCAGTGATGATTAAGAATGAAAACGAAAGAGTATGGCAGAAGTGAAGAACACATGAAGATATTCGAGAAGAGATATGAAACGTATTGATGTTACAAAGGAAAGTGCGCCGGAACTTACGCACAGTCGGCTGACTCCTAGCCGCCCTTAAATACGTTCACTGATGTTCTGTGACATTCTCGCTATGCAAATATTGCCCACTTCAATATTGCAATCATTCGACAATGCCATATCTCCATCTCGCACAGCTCCACGTACTCATAATCTCTACCCTTACTTCTTATCGTTCCTCGTTCAGAATTAGAAGTGGTAAAGAATCATCAATCGAATGTTCCAACACCACTCCAAAAGCATCCCTCCTGCCAGGATCGCCAATTGTAACAAAAAAAAATATATATATATAATTTCGCTATGACAAATGGAGAGGCACATTTAATGTCTTTGATCTCATTGTGAGCATGATGTTTATTCGACTGTGCACTACATCCAAATGGAACACTCTCATACACAACATGAGCTTATATAGGAGAGAGATGGGAGAGAAGAGAGAGAATAGATAATACAATATAAGGGGAGGAAAGGAAAGAGAGAAGATATAACAGAAGATTATGCAATGTAAGAATGAATAAGTGATGAGGCCAAGGAGAGAACAGATATAGAAGAACAATCGCGTAAGAACACAGATGAGAGCAATACATATAATATACGAGTGAATGCAGAATGAGAAGCGCGTTACGACAGCAAGAGAATAAGGTTCAATCAAGCATACATAAACGTAAGAGTAATGCGATTATGAACACACGTAACATTGATTGTACAAGAACACACTGAGAAAGTAAAGATATCATATAAGATGATATGCCCATTGGCGCAATTAGCATTCGTTCAATATCGATAAATTCAACGAAACAACCATTTCTGCTAATTGACTGCATAGTTGAAAAAAATAATAGGCAACATTAAAATTAAAGTACGTCTCGCGTTTGCGATAGTATCACTTATTAAAATAGATAATTCACATTACGATAGTAATTCTATAACGATAAACCTTGTTATATAATCACAGTTAATTCAATAAATTCATCAATAGGTATTTACAAAGAAAAGAATTGTTCTCAAAGTATTGCTACACATGCTTTACAATTAGTTGGCTATGGAAAATCAGAAAGCGGAGAACCATATTGGATTGCCAGAAATAGTTGGGGTTTGTTGAAATATTATGCATTAAATAAATAAACAAAAAAATTAAATTCTCCATGTTATTATATATAGGACAAGATTGGGGTGAGAATGGATATATTCGAATTCTTCGTGGAGAAAATATTTGTGGCATTGGATCACAAGTTTATCAACCCATAATTTTGACAACAACAACAACAGTAAACCCTATGTCAACAACAAGATCCCGAGCTAGCAAATTTTATTTATCGTTAAATAAGTTTTTGTTCGGCGTTATTTTGTTTCATTTGATTTTATGCTGATGTTTACAAATAAAAAATCAATATTTGCTTTGTTTTTCATTGGGTACTTTTTATTTAAAATCAAAGTTTTGATCAATAACCAGCATGACTTAAGGAAAAGAAATCATTCAATGAAATATATATATATATTAATCATATAATAGTCCACTTGAATTGCTCAGAACTGATTATATTTACTTAATTTTATCAGAAACAGTCCTATTGCTCAAGTGCACGAAGAAATTGTTCAATTACAAAAAGTAAGAAAAATGTATTCAATAAATTTTTGCATGCATTTCTATTTTGTCAAGTTAACAATCAAGCAAAAACGTCAATTTAGATTTTTCTTCGTTGCCCACTTTAATAACGGTGTTAAAAAAATCAAACGCATCATTAAGAATCAAACAATTTAACTTACAAATTTTTTCGCTAAAAAAAGAAATGATTTGAGTAAGTCTTGACAACGAATATAATTCAGTTTATTTTTCTTTAATGACAACTAATGTAATAAAACATTCATCTGATTGTGCTAAATGTGCTATTTGTCAATGCCGTTGTTGTATAAATAAACGTACAAAATGTTCACGAATAAAAAAATCTCTTATTCAATCAGATATACAATTTAATGATCATGAACGTCATTGTTTACTTATTCTCGTACGACATGGAATAAGTCAAGATGAAGTTGATAAACGTTTTTCTGGATGGAATGATTGTGATATATCAAATATTGGTAAACAACAAATGCATCGAACAGGTCAAGCACTTCGTCAAGCAAATTTTTTCATTGATATGTGTTTTACAAGTGTTCTTAAACGTGCAATTAAATCTTTATTTATTATTCAAGAAGAAATGAATTATTTATGGTTACCTGTGTATAATATATGGCGACTTAATGATCGTATGTTAGGTAGTCTTACTGGTTTTCATCGTGATAGAGCTGAAGCTTTATTTGGTCAAAATCAAATTAAAGAATGGCTCACACGATCTGAATCAGCACCTCCATTACTTGAAGAATCGAGCGTATTACATCCTCGATTAAATTATAAATATCGTAATATCTCTTCGATTGTTCCATCGACAGAAACACTTACTGATATTCAAAAACGACTTTTACCATTCTTTTATGATCAATTATTAAGTAATTTATATCTTGGTAAAAATATTCTTCTTGTTACACATGAAGATACATTAAAAGCAATTATTCGTCTTTTGAATAATTATACTGTAGATGAATATGTTAATCAAGAAATACCAATTGGTATACCTATTGTATTTGAATATTCATTAAATAGAAATGAATTATTCAATAGTTATTATCTTTCATCAACATTATTCGAAAATAATACAGATAATCAACATCAATTATTTCCAATAGAATTTGATAATAAAAAATTAACACCAACAAAAGATATCATTAAACAATATTCATTATCAAATATTAATTCGAAAACATCGAAAGAAAAACTAAATATTCACAATAAAAAAGCTTCAATTGATACTATCAATACATCCATTAATACAGATATTTCTGATATAAATGATTCCAGGATAGTTGATTCCCTGAATGATCAACAACAAGATGAAAAAGAATTTGAATCTTCAATACTACCAACAACTGATGTTGCCTTGCATGAATCGGCCATATCTATGTAAGTTAATTTTAACTTCATACAATCATTATATTTTTCTCTATGTAGTCAAGCAAATCAAAACGATGATAGATTAATTCGAGATGGCAATGCTTTTTCGGATAATGCTAATGTTACTATTTTATCTAGTCGAAAATCAGATTATATAAGGAAGAAAGATAAAAAATGTTGTTCATTTGTTTCTTCTAAATTTATACCATCGATCTGAAAAATGTTTTGAAACAGATTACATAAAAACTATTCGAACATTATTTGTATTATATAATTATATTTAGATTGGTTATTTTCAAAAACTTAAAACAATTATCATTTGCATCTCATCACATCATGATGAGGCTTAATTTGACAAGAGAGAGAAGCAGGGTCAATAACTGTTGAAAATGGCCCCTCGAGAAATTTGATTTCTTTTATGTCAAACTTTTACACACAAGGTGTTTGAAAGTGAATCCTAATAGAATTAATCATATAGGAATTATTTATGCTGTGCACAGGTCGATTGAAATAGTCAATGATTGTCAGATGTACATTATTGAATTCAACTGTTAATGATAAGAAGCAGTTTTAGAGGCTTTCAAAATGGTATAAAAACATCGTGGAAAAAACACTGGTCATACAAACATATCTACAAGGAGACTATTCTCGATACATATTTTTATGATTTTTTTGTGCCTAATATTTAATAGATTTTGATTAGAAAAATACGATTTGGATAAAAACTAATATAATATTCTGAATCAGCATTAAAAATCTGAGTGAACTTATATGCATTTCAAAAAGCTTTGTAATCTTTTCTTTTCGTCAAAAAATTCATATCTAATCTTCTTTAGGGTTAATTCATTTTTTGACCCAAGTCTGAGGTGGACCAGAGGTGAATTTTTCGACGAAAAGAAAAGGTTGCAAAATTTTTTGAGATACATGTAAGTCCACTCAATTTTCAATGCTGACGGAGAATATCATATTAGTCTTTATTCAAATCATATTTTACTAATCGAAATCTGCTAAATATTAAGCAAAAAATATCATGTCTTAAGAATAGTTTCTTTAGGATTTCTTTATGTGGTCAGTATGTTTTCTCGATGTCTTTATACTATCGGGAAGCTGTTGAAAAGCGTTATCGAGCCCTATGAATACTAGTCTGGTTGGTCTTTGAATTTATAGATAAAAAGAGTGGATTATCCTCAACAGCTAGGTATAGTGTACATACCACAGCCATTGACTAATTTCAATCAGATGGAATACAGAACAAACGAGTATGATCGACTTTTTGTAGGGAGTCAATTTCATCGGCTACTGATTTACTTCCTTCTTTTTTTCCAAAAAATATTCGAATGACGGAATTACAATTGAATCATTGCATCAAAGAAGCTTCGATTCAATCCTAGTAGTAAATGTCAAATGAAGCAACGTTTCATAAATCATCTGAGTAGAAGTCTTCGTTTCGAATATCATTAAAAAAATTTCTTATCTAAAATGCATTTTCGACAAAGTAATATAAAAGAAATAAACTATTATTACTAGTCATACATTTGTCAAACAATTTGATTTCAACATATATCAAAATAAACTCAACATTTTCATGAATAATAACAATATATTAACCAATGAACAATGGTTAGAAATTTCGGAAGCGATTAAGTTAGTTGATCAAACAGGTGATCATACTGTACTCAATCAATTATTAAGTTTGTGAAAAACTAAATTTCAATTTTTTTTTTTTGACTTTTTATTAATATTTATTTCTGTCATAGTTTCAATTATGACAAATTTTATTGAAACTCTTGATGATGATGATGATTTTCAAAAAAATGACGATGATAATATGGAAAGACAGTTTGTAATTGCATTAATTGAAAGTGAACTTGCTGAAATGATAGCTATTGATGGTTAGTTTTTGATTTTAGATACAAAATGAATTGAGTTTTTCTTTTTTTATTTTAAATATGTTTAGCTTGTTCAAGTTGGTGTTGTTGTCGTCGACAAAAAATTCAACCTTTAAATCAAAATAGACATCGATTTTCAGATTATTTAATTAATATAGCACGAGCAAAATCGTTGGATAAAAATAATAATGGATTTATTCCAAAAGAAAATATACAGTAAGTAATTTATTTGAATTTAATATGAAATATTCATTGTTCTCTAGACGTATCTTTGAAACACAAATAAGTAATGAGAAAATGAGGGAATTATTGCACTTTGTAGAAAAAAATACTAGTAAGATGAGTTAATAGTATTTATTAAATTAATTGAATTTTTTCTTTACATGAAATAGATGGAAATATTAATTATAAAGGTATATGTTTATTGTGTTTTCTTTTTATATAGTTTTTTTTTTTTTGATTTTATAGATTTTGCAACATTGATGTTACTTATCCAATGAATACAATGATCTCTTTCTCTTATAAGAAAACTATTTTTTCTATCGGTTTTTTTTGTCAATAATAAAAAATAAGGATATTAAAAAATCGTCAAAAAATTTTTTTCTACAATAGAAAATTCGAATTGAAACAAAATATCACATAATATATTGTAGCAAATTGTAGATTTGTAGTATTCGATAAGTATCATGAAAACGGTAAGTCTTCTTCAATTTTTTTTCCACATAAAAAATCGACATCATCAATAGGAGACTTAGTTCTCTATGAGATATTTCATTCGAAAGCTGGCCACGACACGGTCTTGGGATTCTGTTCTATAGGCCAAGATGAAAACTAAAATTTTCGTCTTGTCCTATGATAATTTAAATCAAGCAGTTTTGTTGTTAAAGAAGAAATTGAAGCAGTTTCATTTTGTGGTAAAAATGTTGACGAACTTGATAAGTAGAAATTAGAAGCTAATCTTTTACTATTTTCAAAGGAGCATCAAGGTGAATTTCTCCGTTTGTTTCGATATACCTGGTCTATTAATTCAATACCTGCTACATCAACTAGTGTAGAGAGACAGTCCTCAGAAACCGGTTGAATTATACAAAGAAAGAAGAACCAGCCTTAATCCTGAAGAGTTGGATAATATTTTAGTGATTAGAAAAATTGCAAAAAAATAACATATTTTTATAAAAACATTTGTTTTTTTGTAGTTTTATATATTTTTTCCCTTTTCTTTGTATCATTTTTGTCATCAACTACTTTTTCATTGTCCTTTTTGCTGTATTGATAGTATCCACTATGTATTAAGATACTATTGATAAAACTAGTCAAGTTCATATTTGTTATATTTATTTCTTGCGATGAGCACATTATTAACATAATAATTCAAGATATTTCTATAGGCTTTTTTTGTATTTATAATATTAGTTATTATTGAAGACTTTAGTTTTTGTATTTGAAAATGATTTGAAATAAGTTAGCTATAAGATAATTAATAAACTAATATGTACTTTGGTGATCGGAAGTCAAAACAAGAATGCCTACTGTCCTATCACCTGTCAGGACTGGACAAAATAGTTGTTATGTACTCATCTCGGCTTCATACTATCAAGACTAGATCACTAAAAGAACATCAATCATATAAATAGATCAGCAAGATGATTAAAATGAAATCGACTTGTAATTAAAATAAATATTTAAAAAAAATATTATATGTAGAAAATATATTTATTCTCGTTGATATAATGCTACAGGACTTTTATTTAACTGTATAGAACCAATTAAAATGTGATTGGCAATGCCATAAGTCTCGAACAATACATATGTATTCGATTCTATGCAAGCGAGATGCTATGTCTGTCTTATTTCTGTTCTTCGTGACTGTTATCGAAGTTCTATAGTTTCTAATTTTATCAGAATAGAGAACAAGAATACATAGTACAGATCGATTTTTAAGTGAAGGATTTCGATATTTGGCATGTTAGTTGTCAAAGCTAAATTTAAAAAAACAATTATTTTATTCTAAATAGATAAGCACAGTAAAACATATCGTACTCAGTTGAGAAACGATATCTAAATTAATTTTAGTATTGCCTTTAAGATTTAATTAGTATATAATCAATCTTTCAATCATATTAATATCATTATAATACAAAATTTCGACAACTATAGTTCGAGTTTGAATAGCAAAAGAGTTTTATTAAATTGAATTCCTTTTTTTCTTCTTCTTAAAGGTCAAGACTAAGTCACAATATCAATTGTTTCTATTGATAGAATGATCATGTTTGTAATTCTTGCTCTAAAATAAACCAATTATTTATATTAACTTTTATTTAAATATGAATTATTTTACTTGGACGAATATAATCAGACAAACACAAAGTATTCCATGCTATCCGATCATTTTGTACAAGTGTACATACAAGTCGAATAAATCTTGGATCGTATGGAGCAGGATGTAAAGTTTTAACTATATCTTCATCGAGTTGATAGAATAACTTGCTTTTTGATTGGTCCGATGGCGATGGCACTGATTTATTTATTAATCGTAGTGATAACCTCAATAAAATTGATATTCTAAACATCAAAAGTATAGACTAAATATAATCTTACTGAAAAGTTCCGTCAGATTCTATAGGCAGTGAGTTCAGATTCAATTGAATTGGATTTACAGCTTCGATATTTTTGTTCGTGCGAGCAGGTAAGAACTGTATATCTTCACATGGATACAAAATTCGTTTATCATTGACCTTTTTCTCTCGCACAACAGCAACCATTAAATAAAGAGGTTTCACTAATTGTTGATTTATAGAAGTATAAACTTTTGGGATCTAGTAAAAGAATGAATCGATCATCAAGCAGTGGTTTTTTTTTATAAAGCTTATAAGAGGTTTCTTAATTCATATGATTTGTTAACATTGAACTTTTAAAGAGTCTGGCTCAAACATTACAAATAAATGAGAACATTTCTGTTTGAGTTCAATGCATGACACTTAATTTTAATTCTAGACACATTTCAATTAGCTATTAATGAAACAGTAATGCTGCAAACTCAAAATGACTAATGTGGTATTAGCATCTATCACGTAAATTTTTTCAAAACTTTTGGAGTAGAGATGTGTAGGCTAAGCCTTTTTTCGAACTCCATACTTTGATTGGGAAAATTTTTCTAATCCTACACATCTCTATTTCGGAGTGAATTATTTTATTTTATCACGAAATGTTGAAAGAATGTTATGTTTCTTTTTTTTTTCATGTGAGTTTCATAGATGCTTATCCCTTCTTAATATTGGAAAATATGAAGTAAATATTGATTACGCAACTCATGTTGTTTTTTGAAAGAGCGCTTTAAACTATTTGATCAATGGCAATCTAATTTTGAGTTAGACTAAAGATTGACAAAAGATGCGAAAAAAAAACCTAAATTTTCATCGTTAATACTTACTTTTATTCGAGGCAAGATATTTTTTCCTTTGTCTGCTATTGTCTTGATTCCTTGTATACGCATAACATATGGTGATCGACTTTTGTCTATAAACTCATCAGAAATATCTGTATCATATTGTGTTTTTTGATAAGGATGGACATCATGTACAAATTGTAATGAAGTTGATAATGCCACAAATATTGTCGGTTGCGCAATTTGATCAGGGAGATGTAAGTTAAGATCATCAGAGTTTTGTTCATAATAACTTGTACATGATGTTCCTACTGGAATAGCTTCGATACTAACAGGTTGCTTTACAACAGTATCTACACTGTTTTGAACAGTTGTTTGGGCCTCATGATTCATATTTTTAGTGAAATCTAATTCGTTGCCATCAGATGGAAATAATGTTTCCGAAATACTTTCTGTAATTGACATGTCGGAATCACATATATGTCTTTTGATATCGTCGTTTGATGATAGTAAATCTATTTGATTTACATCAATTAACGATGAAGCAGAATTAAACGAATAATCGAACTCATGTAATTGGCATATATCTGCGTTTCCTAGTGCAGAAATGAAAACCTATTCTTTTTCAAGATCTTATCTTATTTTTATAGCAATTTTACCTTCTGCTGGTGTTGAAACGAACCATTCTTCGGGATTTGAAGGTTTATCTTCTTGATCATGAATTAAATTGATCTCTTCTGCTGTTTCATTTTCGTTATCAATAGTATTCCATCCGAACAATAAACCTTGCGTAGAGTCGTTCGATTTTGCTTCCTTCTCACATCGATCGAGATCATAACAATCTTAAATTAGCAGTAACAATTAAAATCTTGTTAAGGCAAAATCTTGTATAGGTAATTTGGAAAATATTTAACATGAGTGTAAGTTATAAAAAAGATCTCATATTCTAGCCCAAACAAATGATATTCAACTGTTATATAGGTTTTAATCATCCTTTAAAACAGGCATGTTTTTCCACACCGCGCGATGCCAATCTGTTATATGACTATAATAATTAGCTACTATCTATTTGCAATATCAGAAAAAGTTTTATAACTCTCGAACGGAACAAGCTAGGAATGCCAGCCTTGAGTAGATCGAAAGAGAATAATTTTTTCTATCGATTAATCCTATTAAAAGTCTAAATTGAAAGGAAAATAGCTTCAGAATATCATTTTCGAAAACTTCAAACAAGAACTTATCTTATTGGGTAATTGCTGACTAATTGAATGTCGATATACTTTGATGATCCTGGGTCTTCTCTCTTGAATGGTGAAAATCTTAGGCGTCTATGATGTTTCTATCAAAAGTTATTCGAAAAACCGGTGGATCATATGATATTTTGAAATCAATAGTACTTTCTCAATAAAATTTCTTTCAGTATTATTTAAACTGTAATTCTTTCTAAAATATAATTCTAAACATTTAAACTTACCTGATGAAAAAGGATTTAGCAAAATAGAACCGAAAAGGTGGCTTATAGATGTACGAGGTAGTCGTTCGTGTAATTCCTTTAAATATTCATCGTCTAACACAAATATGTCCTTGAAACATTCATCCTTGACTTGAATTTCGAAAGTATCTACATTAATACCAATTAATTCTCCAATTGTGTCTTTGATAGAATTTAAAGACATATTGGTATTTAAAAAAACATTATAAAATTTGTAGTTGAGTCGAAGATGAAGATTATACGAAGCCATATACTGAATAAAACAATTAGTTTTGTATATATTTTATGCAGCAAGTATTAAAACGCGTATGGATGTTCTTTATTTAGGATAGTATTTTATTTTAAACGTTATAGACATGATAATAAATGACTTGAAATATTTCTGCCTGTTTTGATGGAGACACAATCGTAATGTTTTCTATCGTTTTACGTTCTTGTACTTTTTAGTTGATGTAAAGTAAGGACAGAACACCGGCTTGAATATTCCTGCACATTTTCCTACGAGTAAAAAATTTTTTTTTTCGTTTTCATCTATATTACACGATAAAAAAAACAAGGTAGAAAGGTAGGCAACAGCTTGAGTATTCGTGCTCTTGTTTCTTACAAATAGTTTTTATTTATTCCTGTTTTTTTTCGTTCTTGCTTATTTCGAATGAAACATCAAATGATTCAGCAAGAAAAACACATTTGATTCGTCCAAAATTTTTTTATGATGAGATGAAGTTTTCCAGCACCATCACCATCACCATCATCTGTAATAATATGTGAGACATTCAGATTCATCATATTCGTATTAAACAAGGTAGTTAACATGATGGAAGTTCATACAAAATTAAAAATTCTCAATTGCCGTCGTGAAAAAATATGTACTTATAAGACACCGAAACTTACCGGAATAACAAAAAGAAAAGATATTGAAAATTTCATCGTAAAAAAATGTAAAAATTTTAAGCCTCCATTTGATATTCAAATTTTTGATGAAGACAATGATTTTGTCACATTGGATGATGATTATTTGGAAGACTACAATCCTTTTAAAGCTAAAACAATTGACACAACTACTGTTCAACCAACCAATTCTTCAATACTAACAGTTATTGTGCAAATTATTGTGTTAAGTTAGTTGATAGCAAATTGTTTTTTCTCTTTAATCATAAATCTTTCTTGTATAGATTATGCTTCTAATTTTATTAATGATGAAGAATTCATGAAAACTGAAGAAGGTTTGTTTACATTCAAATAGTATTTGTATTTTAATCGATAATTTCATTTTATAGTTTTGAAAAAAGGCATTCAGAAAAATGAAAATATCCAACAAATTGATCAATCTGTGTCAGTTACAAAATCACAAATATATCCTATTATTCGCTTATCTAACGATTCAAAAATGGGTTTTATTCCTAATCATAATGTCAATAGTGAACAAAGAGATCAGTATCCTTGTGATCGAATAACTGTGAGTACAGGAGATATCGTCGGTACACTTAGTATGATTCAAGCTCCAAAAGATTCAACAAAGATACATAAAAGTGTATTGCCTCGATTTCGAGTAAGCATATTTAAAAAAAAATCATACACTTACGATTTAAGGATGTAACGATGGCAGCAGTACACTGGTCTAAACATATACGTATAGATTAACAGTGAACATGTGATAAAACTATGGTGGTTTTCGATTTTTTCGATCGGAAGGCCATCGCAAGAAAATAGCTGAATTTTATAACAATAGACTAAAAATTTTCAATCTCATGACTGAGTGTTGAAATAGATTTTCCTCGACCAAAAAAGTCAAAGTGAATCTAAGAACAGTAATTTTATCATGTGTTCCCCATTGTTCTATACATGTATGTCTAGACCGGTGTACCGGTGATCATCCGTACCATTGCATCCCTAATATGAGTGCTACCTTTATATTTTCTTTTTATTATTATTGATAGATTTGGCATGATGACATTAAAAACAGAAGTGCTCACGTCTGGACTTTGCTTGTTTTTATTATACTGGACGTATATCAATCGGGTAAACGATCACTCTTCTATCATTCACAACGAGCTTTTGTCGAAAAAGATAATGTAAAACAATCGTTGAATCCATACAAAATACCTATTATAAATGACGATTGGATGAGCAACATGGGAGTGGAGTAAATTACATTCAATATTTCAAATTTGAATTTCTTTATTTTATCATTTATAGGCTCAAATTAATAACTGTTGTAATTGAAGGAGCAAAAAAACATCCTGATACATCCTTAAATATTTTATGTCAATTCGAAGATACCAATGAAAACAAATTATTAGACACATCACACAATTATAGTAAATCTCGTCTTGCTCTTATTCTTCAAAAAGATGATGTTATTCAATGGGATACTCTAGTTCTATCCAATGAAATGATTTTCAAAAGTAACAATAAAGTGATTTTATTATAGATGTAGAAAATATTTTTTCGAATATTTAGAGAGAATTACTACATCTGGCACAGCTAATATTCTGGATATTTCGACAAATGCAATATCAACTCCATTGAAACGAAATTCATCAAAGAAGCGTCGTATTGTATCTCCTTTTTCTTTGTCTCGTGATTCTAACAAAAAGTATGTTTTAGAAAATACTTCAAATCAACGATCCAAACGTACAAAAAAAATAAGAAAAGAAGAAGATTCTTCATCGATTTCGAATCCGTCTACAAACAATAATGATTCTTCTATTTATCTCCATCAGGATCTTCCGGTATATTATAACAATAGTCAAGTTATAGGTATTACATCTCAAACAATGTTAAACATTTCATCATCTGATTCAGAACTTCTGTCAGTAAGTTATAGAAAATATCTTCAGTATTCGCACAGAAAAAAAAACCGGTTTTTCGTATACATAGAATGATTTCATTTTAATACTTTAAATAGTAATTTGGAAAATTAACTTGTTCCTTCTTTCAATTTATATAATTTGAAACTATTGGATTATTTTGTTGTTTTAAATAGGATTTACCTCAAACAAACTACTTATCTGGAAATTCAATTAGTATAAATAATAATTATCCAGATATTTTCAATAATTTTGATTATACAAATGCGGACGACAACATGCTCAATGTTCCTTTGCTCTGTGATACTGCTTATTCGGATATTGATTTATTGAATTTATAAAAAAATTAACATTTGAAAATGATTAAAACATGTACCAAAGACAATTTAATTGACTTTTGCATAGTATTTTTTTATTAGAATAGGAAATGATCTCATCAAAAAGACAGGGTCTATAATAAACATGCGAACAGAAAAGTAGACTCTATAAGGATAGTTATTTGTTCTTTTTTTTCTAAGAATTTTTTTTATTGTAGTTTTTTATTTTCTTGTATGATTTGATTGTTTCTGAACAAATAACAAACGGATTGACTTATAACAATATCAAATCTGCAAAAAATCAGAAAAAAAAATGTATCGAAGAATAATGAAAGAGAGATATCGAGATAAAAGAAAAAAGTCAAACATTAGAATTGCTTATGAACTGCTAATCTTACGAAAGCAATATTAACTTGAAATCTATAATTCATATAGAAATTACAAAAAAAAAACAAAGTAGAAGTAACTTTATTGATAAAAACCAAACTTGGATATTCCGAATGAGGGGAATCACAGAGAAGATGACTCTCAATCTTGAAAATTTTTCTTTTTTATTCCGCAGAGTTTCAGTGTTTTATTATATTTTTAGCCATCAATTTCTAGAAAGACGCTCAATCCTTCCCAATCCCAAATCTGTTCAACTTTAGCGAAGATCTTGCTATAGGTTTCTTGAGTCAACGACTCTTCTCTCTGAAACCAAAAAAACAAACTAGAGAAAATTTAAAATTTCTGTCCAATCACAAAAGTTTAGTTCGTGTCTATCTTTCTTATTGAAATGATTCATGTAGTTCTACAATCATCTAAATTGTTCATTTTATTTATATTTTAAAATCCATTAGGTTGTATTTATTCTGAATTATTGAAAAGATAAGCTCAACGACTTCATTGTTTTTTTAGTAGAAAAAAAATACACACATGCACAGAAACCATATTCGAGAGAAATAAAGTGAACGAAAGACATTATTTATGGACTAATATAAATATATGTATATATGTATATGTTTGAATATTTAAGTTACGTATATAGAAATAAATATATATTGAAACAAAAGCAATATTTTTACTATCAAAGAAAATTTAGAAAAATGTTCATGTTAATGATTCGATGAACCACTTTTAAGATCTTGTTTTACTTTCCATAATATAAGTTCCATACATGATATAGAATCTTCCATTGAATCATGTCCGTTAGCTAAATAAAACAAAATATTAATAATAATTATATATATATATATATATTTTTTCGTATGTGTAAATAATTATCTTCATACCATTTTCTTGAATGATTTTCGTTAAAAATTCTGACATTAATGTTTTCAATGCACGTTTGAATGGTTTTCCTTTTGGATGTGGAAAAACTAAAGACGTATCAACAACAGTTTCATGTACAATCTAGCATAAATTAAATGATTTAAACATAAAAAAAGAATAGTTTTGTTTTTTTGTTACTTTCAATGCTTTTAAATCACTTTCCAATGAATGACCAATAAGAATTGATTTATCATTAAATAATTTTAATAAACGTCTTTGTACATCTTCTAATGTTACATTACAAAATTTTAATTGACTTTCAGTTATTCCCGACCAACGAGTATTATAATCAAGTACTTTATTATGAGGTTTAACTAAAGTTTCATATATTGGTTGCAATTTATGATCAACAACACTAACACGAACAAGTTCAAGACCATTGATTGTATAACACTAGAAGATATTAAAGGATGATGAAAAAAAAGTAATTTGATAAATTGATCATTCATTTTTTAAGTTTTGTAAAAGAGTCTGGAGAATTTTGAAAACATTTGGTGAAAATCGGAATATTGTATACTTTCTGAATATAGAGTAAAACTTTTTATAGAGTGTAGGAACTATGAGTCGAAGTTTTCGAGATCCACAAATTAACTTTGGACGGATGTCAGTGTTCAAAAGATTACTTAAAGTAGAAGCAAAAGTAATTTCAAATCCAGCGAATAAAAGAACGAACATTTCTCTGTAAAATAGTGCACTGTGTTAATTTCTCGATTTCTATGAAAACTAGACTTGCAGAATGAGCTCGATCATTCCTGAATGATTATTCTGAAACTTTTGATTCTTATATCATCTTACAGAGAATAATCTTGTCTCTAACTCTGTGCAAAAAAAGTCTCAACTTTTTCCGTTCAAACTTAATTTTCGCGTCTCTAAAAAGATAGCTTATAACTACTAAACCAGAAGTTTTGAATAAAAAACGTTCCTAGTGCAGTTCGTTTAAACCTACAGTGAGGAATTGGCATTTGTTCGTTAGCTTCATTATACTAGTACAAAATATATATGAAATGAAAAATCTCTAACAGATTATAGTTGTTTTCCAAGCATAATCGATCGCTCTGGAAAAAATCTCTTATTTATTTCTGTATTTCGAATAGAAATGTTATTACTGACGTTCTTTTTTTGTTTACCTTCTCATGGAAAAATTTTGCGAAGAAAACCAGTTTTGATGAAGCGCAAAAGTCAGACCATTTATGCATCTATACACATCAGTCAAAACCGCGGTGAGAACCGAGAAAATCTGCCGTTCAAGTTTCAAAAAACTTATGTTGAAACGCGGTTGTTTCTGTTCTCATCACAGTTTTAACAGAAAAATTTTTCCGTGGTTTGTTGCCATTCGCTTGTTATTTTCCTTTATTGTATTTCGCTTTTCTTAATTTAACATTATTATGATTCTAATCATTGATTTAACTGGCAAATAAGTCTGTTATAAATATCAATTATATAGAAATACTGATACTGATGAGCAGTTCATGCTCTTTGTGTTGATCATATGATATCTGTATTCATAAGCGTATTTCAATTTTAACGACACCTTTGGAACGTTCTAGAACAGTTTAAGTTTTATCTTTAATTACTAAGGAACTCTAGAAAACGAATCTGACGCTTGTTGTCCTTAGTTAATAAGATTTGTAAAAGAGAAGGAAGAGAGCGGCAAAACTTCGAATTAAAACTTACATTCACTATGTTCTTCTAAAATATATGTGAGTCCCACAAAATTCTGATTTTAATCTAATATTTTGAAATTATTTATTGATCGGTCATAATTTATAAAATTTTAAATATAGATTTTTAATAACTATAGTATAAACTAACATATTTTCAATGTAAAGTGTCTATCGAATCTTTACAATCTATCACTAAATATCAAAGAATTAACTATCATAATTCAACCAATTATCTTCTTATCTAATCTGTAACTTATTTCCTAAGTTAATATATATTTACAAATATTCATATTGATATTCTTACCATTTCACAATCAAGTGCATAAATGCCATAAGATTCATTAGCATCTAATTGTTTTCGAAGAGGTTGAGTTTTAACATAACCTGATAATAATTGTGTATCATCACCATCATTCACATGATATTTTCCAACAGCACAACCAACTGAATTTGTTTTAGCAGAACAACATGAATAAGTTTTTTCAATTTGTCCAGCAACTAATTATTAAAAAAAAAAGATAAATCTTTTTAATTACAAAAACGAAAACAAAAAAAGAAACAGTTTTTATTTTACTTCGTTGTGTTCGCATTCGTCCCCAATGATAAATACAATCTTCTTGCATAATATATTCTTCATTTTTATCAATTTTATAAGTTTTACTACATCGACAACATATACGATTATTTGCTATAGAAAAAAAAAAAATGAAATGATAATTTTGTTTTATTTATTTGATATGAAATTGAAATATATATATATATATATTTACGATCATATGAATAAATTTTAGTTGTTGGATTATAAATTGGATTTCTATTTTTAATTAAAACTTTATCTGGAAAATCAAGTGAAAATGCTGGATACCCATTCTCTATTAAATCTCGTTCAGATGTTTTATAGACAAGTAAAAGTGTATAAAGTTCATTATCTAAATAAAACGATTGCATTTTTGAATTATTTATAAAAAGAAAAAGAATTTCTTTTTTTTCTCTTTGCTTTGTTCACCTGTTAATGTTTTAATATCGGCTTCTTTTTGTTTTTTAATTCCAAAACTAAGATTATCTGTTTTACCAGCACTAAGCATAGCTGAATGTGAAACAGTAAGTCGTTGTACATTTGGTTTTTTCGGTGCGATCTGTTCATTTTTATTTTTATTATTTGTTTCTTCAGATCTTAATTGTCGTAAATATTTAGCAGCTAAATTTAAATATGAATTTCTATTTGTTGATTTATCAAAAATGTCTTTTTCAATTGTTTGTGCACGTGAAAAAACAGGTGTTGTTGGAGTTGTTAAATCATTCATATTTGTAGGTCGACTTTTAAGTTCATTTAAAAAAAATGTTAAATATTCTTGTCGAGTTTTAAATGGAATTTTATTAATACTTGAATTTGGATCAACTAATGGTTGTAATAAAGGTGTAAATGAAGAATTAGTTGAAGTTGGATGAACTTTTGGTTGATGAGCAATACGACGACCATCAGTAGAAGTTTCTGCTCGTGTATGATTAATGGAAGCTGATGAGTTGGAATCATTTTGAATATTTGTTAATGATGAATAACGTGAAGCAAATTGTTGAATAGAATTTGGTGGTATAGTTGAAGTTATTTTTTT